AGGTGGTCGTGGCCAAGGGCGGAGCCAGCCACGCTGCAGAGAATATAAGCCGGGTCCCCCAGAGGGACTGGCGTTGTTGTTCATCTTGAAGAAGCCTTCGTCTACGTCCTATGTTCTACCGAGTCTCCAAGACGTGGACCTAAACCCGAGCTGTGGCCCTAGTCCGTAGCAGCTAGTTACATTGTAATTAGTGTAGTTAGCCTGGTGGTCCACCACCATAGGTTGTTATTCTGTAAAGGGGCAGTTACCCCGTGTGTTGGTGTTAAAACACGTTCCTTCGGAGTGAGCAGGTAGGAACTTGGTTGGACAGCGCATTCGTGCGATCCGTGGCACGCGGTGCAAGCTGCGTGGGGCGGCGCGTCACGTGGTGCTGAGCCCGCCCGAAGCGCTCTATGAAATACAAGTCGAGGACGTGGCTATGCACGAAAGACAGACAAATAAACCCTGATGGGCAGTGTGGAACTGTTGTCCCTACCTGTATAAACGTGTTGCCTCCAAGAGTACATCTGCGACTCAGTTGAACTCACTACGTATGTACGTATGTTGAACAACTTTCGAACTGCACGTAGCCAACCATGCTAATCGGAGGTGCGGGTTCTGTTTCCCAGTTGCGTGCCTCCGACTGGCATCTGCAGTTGTAAATTACGCCCACTGAATGGAAATTTACAAAACATTCCAATTCAGGACCCTCCTTTAAGATGAAATACCGAGACCCAGTGACGCTTTCCAGGCCAATTTGCAGAATTATTAACCCGACTCCTGTTATTTCCTCACACGACTACTGGTGTCCCTTTACTCGTGCGTGACTCAACGAACTGTTTGAGGACATTCAAATAGAAATGATCCAAGTGTTGTATTTCGTAGCTTGCGCAGCCCTATTGGGTGAGCATTTCATAAAAGTAGCTGCCAATGCTAAAATAATCGCACAGTGAAGGCGCTCACGAAAGCTCGCAATTTCATTGGAGATCGAGACGGTTTTCACCTCCGAGATGTGAGCAAGCTTGTATGTATGTATGCGTGTGCTATGCATAGTGGGGAGAGGTAGTGCAGCCTCAAATGAGTACTATATCTATTGCAATGTGCAAACATCGCCACTCGGGAGATAAAGACGGTCGAGCGTGGTGCTGGCCATCCACCCCCTCGTGTACTGTGCCGGCCTTCATCGGTGCTCGCTGACAGCACTTGCCCCAACGGTCTGGTCAGCCTTTATGGGGGATCTTTGGGTTTTTCTATGCATTGCACTTCATCGCTATGCTTGTATATATGTTTGAACCATTGTGTATAGAATCTATTCATCGTGCGTTATGTATAGCACATATGCTCTATACCTTATGCGTATCTGCTCTGTATCGTGTGTGCTATATATATCATGCGTGTTTTAGAATATTGTATATGTGGGCTATGTTATGTTTGGCCTTTCAGTAGTCTGCCAAATGGCACGTCTCGGGAGTAGTGGCCGTATGCTCTGTATATTGTAAAAATAAGAATAGATTTTACCCTTTCTGGAAATTAAACAGGAGGTGTTAAGATGTTCCAACACCAAATAGATACCTTTTGCAAGGAATCAAGTCCGCATGAACCACACGTACTTGGGACAAAACATGCAAATACACATGCTCCGATTATAATGTATGCATCGTTCTTGAAACTGATTGACCTACACCATTGCCTTGTCTCACCAGTTTTAGACCAGAGAACGCCAAAGGCGAACAGTACAGTTTTCAGTATTGCATGTTGTACACATTTTGGCATTGGAGCATAGGTGACTGACACAGATGCTAAATATGATATTTTATTGTATGGACTATATACGTATTTTAAGTTTGTGTATGCGCTCTATGTATATTGCATCATGTTCCATATATATTACATTTATGTGCTGCATATTTTGAGATTATTTGTTTGTGGGTCCTATATATATGTATGTGTACGTATGAACTGTATCGTCTCTATGGGGCCCCTTTTTCCGTTATCAAGATGATGATAAACGAATAGGCTCTTTCCAGCAACAATACAGGTGTTAAGATGTATATTGTATGCGTGTACGTTCTGTGTATTGTATTTCCCTCCAGCAACAACAGAGGGCAGAGGAGCGACGCTCGCAACAACGAGGGGAGCGCTGGGCGGTTAAAACGGAGAAAGTTGGCTTAGTGGGGAGCACAGTTGGTGCATTTGCCAGTCATCTCAGTCAGTCAACCCGTGGCACCTGTAGGGTCTGTTCCATGACCCCCTGTCAGCGGGCTTCGACACATCACGCGCCCTCTAAGTGCACCTAACCTGGCACAAGTGGTGTGGTGACGCCACCGCCACTTATCACTGAACGGCAGTTGTATGCGTGTGCTGTGTGTTGAATACACGTTGCTATGCAGCACAGTGTGTGTATGTGTGGCAGAATAGAGCGCGGTTAGAGGCGCTGATACGTCCCAATGGTAGTGGTGCTTGCGCCTTTTCTTTTAGATGTTCACAGATTCAATCCGTTAGGCCGGCCCTGGTAACTACTGCGTTGTGTCATAGACTAACGTGCGTTCACCATCACCTGGTGGTACACGCCTGCAATCCCGCACTGTGGGAGGCAGCCAGGGTTAGTGGATCACACACAGATTTTCCGAAACTCCCTTCCCGTGTGCACCGAGTGGGTACCATACTCTGGCTCGCCAGGAGCAAGAAGTACAATGACTCCTCTACTTATGAACAAGCAAGGATTCAGCTCTGTTCGCAAGTCGATTCGTTAAGTCCAACTTTACTCCTGTCGATTCCAAACATGTTGCATGGCATGTACACGAAACACGGGGAATGGCTTTACAAGATGTATAATTTCCCGTAGATGCAGATTCCACTGGTTATTCATGTTCTGCAAATGTAGATGCCACCACTGCCATCTATTGCGCGGCAGTTGAACTTACGACTCTCGGTCTGAACAGGCAACTGGACATACGGACAGGTGTGTTCGTATCTCTGAAAGTTTGTAAGTCGAATGTTCTCAAGTAGAAGGATCCCTGTAACTGTCTAAATAAGATGAAGTGTTTCCCCTTCACCCGCATGGGTTTTCTCCGGGTGCGTTGGTTTTCTCCCACATGTTAAGCACCCATTAACTCACCGATAACACCTTCACATATAGAGGACAGCAGAGCTCGGGCAATCTTTCCTGCTGGCTCACCGCGTGGCTGCTGCTGCTGCCTTCCCGCTCATCTGTGGTTCCTCCCAGCGCGCTCTGAGTCGTCCACTCTCTCTCTGTCTACGAGAGCGACCGCATGCTGTGTATCTGAGCCTATGCAGGGATAAATCTGACGAGTTTCCGTATGGGTGATCGCTACAGGGCTGGCCAGGAGCCCTGGTGGGGGCTGCTGAGCTTGGCGAGGTGATGGCGGCACTGAGTGTCAAACCTACCGCATGTGTAGTGGGTAAAAAGGGAGAGCGAGACTTCACTGGAGGAAACACGTATATTATAACACTAATAACCCTTAACACGAAGGGGTAACGGCCCCTTCCTCCCGATACTCTAAGAATACAAAACCCGAAAACATATAATCACAACATATGCAGCACATGTAATACATATGGAACATGATGTACTATACATAGAGCGCATACACAAACTTAAAAAACGTATATAGTCCATACAATAAAATACCATATTTAGCATGCGTCAGTCACCTGTGCTCCAATGCCAAAATGTGTACAACATGCAATACAGTATACTGTGCTGTTCGCCTTTTGGCGTTATCTGGTCTAAAACTGGTGAGACAAGGCCATGGCGTAGGTCAATCAGTTTCAAGAACAATGCATATATTATAATCAGAGAATGTGTATTTGCATGTTTTGTCCACTTGCAGACTTGATTCCTTGCAAAAGGTATCTATTTGGTGTTGGAACATCTTAACACCTCCTGTTTTATTGCCAGAAAGGGTAAAATCTATTCTTATTTTTACTGTATACAGAGCATACGGCCACTACTCCCGAGATGTGCCATTTGGCAAACTACTGAAAGGCCAAACATAACATAGCCCACATGTACAATATCTTTTAGAACACGCATGCTATATTCAGCACACACGATACGGAGCAGACACGCATAACGTACAGAGCATACGTGCTATACATAACGCACGATGCATAGATCCTATACACAATGGTTAGAACATATAGACAAGCATAGCGATGAAGTGCAATGCATAGAAAAACACAAAGATCCCCCATAAAGGCTGACCAGACAGTTGGGGCAAGTGCTATCAGCGGGCACCTATGATGACCGGCATTGCACACGAGGGGGTGGGTGGCCAATACCACGTCCGGCCGCTTTTGTCTCCACAGTGGTGACGTTCAAACACTGTACCAGGTACTCATTTGAAGCTCCGTCGACCTAGGGGAGGCCCAATACTGGCTAAAAAAGATCGTCAGTGGTGTTCGCCATGAGCGAGAATCGAACTTGGGTCGCCCTGGATCCATAGCGCAGTAGTCTAACACTCGGTGAGACTTCTCTGGGTAAATAAATGGCACAATAACAGCCTCATGCAGAGGGATGTCAGCGAGGCGTTTTATTTATTGTTATATTCGATGTTAAGATAAGCGAGTGGGCTTGGGCAAGACAGGCTAATAGACAAGGCTAGAGATGGAAGAGCAGATAAGTGACACTCGAGCGGATGTTGACCACAGGAGATGGAGAGATGAAATCAGCTGGCTTGCAGTCGTTCAGATGGATCGTTGCATTGCAACAGAACCGGCCCTAGACCTTTGGGGGCCCTAAGCAAAATTTGGTTGGAGGCCCCTTTGATGTATGATTTTTTTCACCCACGAGCTCGCAGTGACTCTAGGGGGCCCTCTGCTGGCCACGGGGCCCTTTGCAATTGCAAGGGTCGCTTAGTGGCTGGGCCGGCTCTGCATTGCAAGACCTGTGAGAAACGGCGAACGACTTGGAGAAGCCATCATCCAACAGTGGATATATTATGGCTGCTGATGGCGGTTCTGATTAACTTCAAATGATCCATGTATTCCACAGGGATATGCGGGCGATAGTTCTGATCAACTCCCTGGTTGCCTTCACAGCGTTGTACGTGCAAGCATACAATGTGATACGTGAGTATAGAGCACAACACGATGTGGATCTACATACAGTAATACCCCGATGTACGTCTCCCCCTTTTTAAAGTCGTTTTCCAAAATACGTTGTCACTTGATGAACACCACTACCCAAGTAGCGTTGCTTCAACCCCACACTTACGTCGCTGACTGCGCCCTTCATTTCTCGTAGCCTTCGCCTCTCAGCCTTCGTCTTCACCACCTATTACCTGGTAAATCGCATTGATTTACGTAGTTTCGGTATTCGTCGTCGCACCTTTCAGGAACGCATCCCCGATGTAAACCGGGGTAATTGCCATATCAATGTGACCAAATCCCAAGGCGCAATACAAAATGGCGCATGCTTCGTTTATATTCATAGGCACTGGAAGAGAGAATAGACTTGAGCCTGGATTTGAACCGAGACAGGGAATGCGTGTCTGCATATAATTCCACTTATTTACCCAGGAGCAGCCTCACTGAGTCTCTTAGATTCTCTCAGGTAGGACCTGCCAAGTATTCACAGTCTGGGGCAATGTTGCTGTGTGTGATCGCAATTGAACAATTTTTCAGAGTAATTTTTTCAAACATTGCAAATTTAGGCCACGACGCTGGCACAATAGCCTACTCAATGCGAATGACGTCGCGGGATCTTTAACGTCCACTGTGAAGCGTAGTATGTTTCACTTATTGCACACCGCAGTAATAACCAGGTGGGCCTGTTGGACACGAGTGGCCCCAATAGACAGCACGGAAGGTTGGTGGAGATGAATTCCAGACCTAAGGGCTGCAGACGAGAGTGAGCGATCTCCCACCGAGTGAAGGTTGACTGGCAGACTAGGCCAAAACAATCCTTGTTGTGTGATTCACGTAGCACGGAGGTAGTGGCTCTGTATCCGTGGTACGCAAGTGTGTGATCCAGTGCTTTGGAACGGAGTGAGAGTCCGTGCATTACGGATATGTATGGTGGAACTTGAGAATCTACTGGGTTGCGATAGGTACAGGAGATGGCAGTACCGCAAGTGGAATGTGGCACGATCAGAGTGGACCTTCAAGTGTCATCCCCTCTAATCCCCGGGGGGTGGGGGAGTCTCTCCAGGTATTTGTTTCCTTCCACATCATTGAAATATCAGTTCCATCCCCTAGTCAGCCCATTGTTTGATGAAGGTCATCCCACGCAGTGCCAGTGTTGTACTTTACCAGAGATGGGTGATCTTGGGCGAGTTCAGATATAAGTCATTGCTGATATTATCCCTGGCTGAGAATCCAACGAGGATAATTAAAGTCATAGCTGCGCAAGAACCATTGGGCTACGGCTTCCACCTGAGCTGGGTGGTGGTGGTGGCGGCAGCTATACCACATGTGGTCTCTCGTCCAGCATTGTATAGGAGGCAGCAATTGGTTGATGGATCGCACAAAGTTGCAAAACTCCTTTCCCGTGGACGTCGAGGATTAGCCATACCCTGGCTCGCCAGAAAGCAGTACAGCGAATATGTAGACTCCACAGGTTATGTCTATATGTGATAGAGTGTTGCCCATTCGCAAACTTGGAGTTGCTCTGATGATCTTGTTTCTTTCCACATGTAAATACTCATTTATTAGCAGATAACCATTTCATGTATAGAACACCGCAGATATCGGGCTATTGTTGGCACCGACTCTATGGGTGACTATCTTCCCACTTGTCTGTAGTTCCTCCTGGCGTCTAAGTCGCCCTCACACTCTCTGCAAGAGCGAGCAAATACTGTACAGCACGTGATAATTAGACCTTATTTTATTGATAAACAAAACACCCCTTAAAATACATTGGCCGCATATCCCGGTGCAGGAAGAGGGCTGAGACTCAAATAACTTCACTCGCTAACGTTGTCAAACAGAACTCCACTTCGCTCGCTAATGGTGTCAAAATGAACTTCACACGCTAATGGTGTCAATTAGATGTGAAGGTAAAGGAGCAGCCCTGCTCATGCCACGGTTGGTGAAATGGCCTCCCCTTAGATGAAGCTCAAGAGAGCCCTTTTCAAATGTTATTTGATCTACTCTTCCACACTGGCCCAAACGTCTTGGAGATGGGAACAACTACAATTTACCCCACCACACGCACCATGCTAATGTTACACTAACTGTGGTGAACCTATTGATACTGCTGTGTAGAGAGGGTGCGTAAAGTGAGATTAGAGGTAGGAGAGCACATGTTGGGGGGAGGGGTAAAATGAGAGAGGAGGTAGCAGTATGCGTGGAGGAGAGTAGTGTTAGATGAGAGGTAGGCGTGAGGGCTGGTCCATCCGAGCCCTATAACTCTTCCCTCAAATGAGGGGCCCGTCTGCTCACCAGGCCCATAAGATGAACCACCCCACTCATGAAAACCCCAAGCCGACTCCTCACTTAGCAACCACGAAAATTTAATAACGCAACAAAAAACAATGAACCGAAACACGCGACACAAAATATGACAATTAAAAATCACAGATACTGAACGCTAATATGGTTCACTCCCAGATGCCGATAGTACGACTGTCTTCTCGAAACCACTGATCTTGGTACCTTAAAATGGGTCGCACATCGATCGCCACTGCAAACTCTGCTTGAGCAAAGTGCACGGCGCACTCTCTCCTGCACCGGGTGTGATGTTGAACTTAGACTCATTAGTTACATTTGGATCTCTGCCTGGGCGAGGCCCCAGTCTCTCTCCAACACAGGTTGTGTCGGACTTGAAGCAGCATCGTTGAACTTGGAACTACCAAGAATATAATGTATTTGATGGGAACCACCCCTTTACACTTGATAAAGATCACTGCCAAAAAGAGCGAGAAAAAGGGTGGGAACGGGTTACATAGAGTAGCTTGCCAATCTCCGAAGAGGCCCCCAGGCAGTTATAGGCAAGTGCGAGGCTGACGACGAGGCACAAGGCATCGGTCTACACCAGTCAAAGTTAGCAGGAGCGGCAAACTCAAAAGGTTTACCGACATCTCCAAAGTTGTCAGTTTCTCCAGGCAGCAGGTCTCCTGGGTTCTTCTGACAACTTTCCAGGTTGTTCTCACACACCAGCTGCCTCCCACAGCACATGGCCTCTCACCTCCTACGATGGCGTCTCCTCTTCTAAGATAGCATTACCTCGTGGTTCTTTCCAGAATATATATTCTCTTACTGGGGGACTGGAGGCTACGACTTGCTCCTGCTCATTATTTATACATTTGTTTTGCTGGATGTTTATGAAACCTTTGCCGATTTTCAGGAGAGCCCTTACCCTAACCTGTGATGCAGGAACTGGACAGGCAGGGCCGCCAGTGATATTGAAACATTGAAAATGGAATAACCCATACAATGTTTGTAACAGGCCTTCGTCGCAGGCAGGCACGTATACCTCACTTCTTTCCTGTCCCTCGTGTCATCTTTTCCAGGTGAAAATGTTGCTCAGTATGGAGTGGCCACGCAGTCGAGCACATACCTTTACCGGTCTGCGAACGCATCCTTGGCCATTGACGGGAACATGTCGTCTTCCATTGGGATTTGCACGAGCACTATCTACGAGGCGCATCCCTGGTGGAGCCTGGATCTCAAAGTTCGGATGCCCGTGTATGCAGTCACGATCACCTTCCGTGACATCTTCCTTTATAAATTAATCAACCGGTGCCAACTGCTCTTTGGGAATTCGAATGACAGCAGTGCGGCCGACAACATTTTGTGAGTGGTCTCGTCGTCGTTGTCATCATCATCGTCGTCATCAGCCATTGTTTATCGACTACTGGATGATTTGTTAAGAGCAGTGGTTACACACTGCACAATAAACCTGTCGACCTAAATTTAATCATTAGTCAAGGCTAACACTAAGTGGAGAGTAATATCTTAACTGGTGTTGGTCCCTTCATCTCCGTCCCATTACCACCTCGCAATGAGCAGCGTAGTGAAATATGGTCAAACGACCCTCAATGAACACTATATATATATTTTTTCTATTACTATTCTACCAAGTAAGGCCCACTGAGCTATATGGTTTCTGGCCACAAATGATCGCTCAACGAAGTGGCTTATCACGTGCAAAAGTATAGCAGCCAAATACTCTAAACACTTGTTTTCAAATAATGGAGGAAAAACCGGAGAATTCTGAGTAAAATCTATGCACCCACGGGGAGCTAGAACACGCAAACTCCAAATATACAGCCGTCAGGGTCGGGATCAAATCCACGACCTCCTGCATACCAGGCAAGGAAATTTACATCTCGCCACCGTGGCACCCCCTTAGGGAGTGGTGAGACCTCTATCCAGCAAAGGGTTCATAAAAAGGGCTGTACATTCACTTGCTACTGATAAGAACAATGCAATAAATTATACAGAAACTGATTGTCTTTTATTTTATGTTCGTGTGTTTGTCAGCTGTCAGACTCTGAGTATTGCCAAGGCGAACACCACGGCTACTTTCAACTGCAGTGGGCAGGCCGCGCGTTTCATACACATAGTGTCCAAGGAGGACAACTTCCTCAACCTGCAGCTGTGCGAGGTCCAGGTGTCAACAATTCCGCTCCAGCCAAACAACGGTAAATATCCATATTCCTCCCACACGGAGACACAGCTAACAGAGAGGTTACCAAGTGAAGAAAGCCCAGACTTCTTGCTCAATTGATAGATTCTCATCCCACAGTTAATACATTCCCTGGAGTAAAAATCAGCTCGAGAAGATTATTTATAGACGGATCATAGCAAATTTTCATTTAAGTTCCATAAATATTAAACAAGTGGTTATTGTACTAATATGGAAACAAACAAGGAAGTATGTCAAATTTAATTGCAAGTCAAGTTATTATAAAGAATGAGAAGCTTAGCATCAAATCGTGATGTATATGGGAGAGTAACAAGGACATTTGTGAATGCAGAAATTGGTGACGAGCTGAAGCCGAACATGAAACCCCTTTTACTACAGGCAGCTGCTTACATTCGAGCCCAGTGCACCGACCTCTGGGCCACTTCACTCTCGCATTTTATTTTACTTTTCACAGGACTGCCTTATAGTTTATTTACACAATTTACGGACCTGCCTGATTTAATTATACAGTAGAGTCTCGAGTATCCGCATGCGGTTTATACGATTTTCAAATTAACCGCGCACCTAAGATTTTGAAATACATTAACTCCTGGATTTTCCCTTAAGCTCCAAATTAATTATCGAAAAATAGTTATACATTGTTATTCTTGGAAATGTATATTACAAGTCACGTGCTTAAACTGGACAAATATGTGATCCGGTTAGTCCAAACCACGTGATCGCCTCTACAGTACAGTAGTTGCATATTTTACAACAGTGGGTGGAGTTTGATTGGTTTGCCTCTGCTTTTCACTTAATGGACGGAATTTTCTGCAGGAAGGTGTTATCACGAAGCACGCACATCGATCGGCTGGTCCGTCATCAGTATTCGTTCTAAATCGAAACAGTAACAATCGAAATCGTCAGCTTCATCCTATAATTTGAACCTATATTAGTGGCTTTTGCATAGATATTCGCGTAAAATTGATATTTTTGGATCATCAGCGGTTGAATTAACCATAGCTGTCCTCACCATCATGAGCGCGGATCATTTTGAGTCTACTGTATTTATTGCGCTCACGAGCGATGTGCCAATGTCGACATTTGTTATCCACGAGAGTTTCAAGAGAGAGTTTGTAGTGTTGCTGTTCCTCCTCTGTTTAGGAGCGCATACCACAGTGGGGTTTACGATACATGCCCATAGTTTGGATTGCACGGCCACAATCGTCCTACGTCACTTGTCTTTAATTTCTTTTTTATGAAGGAGATGCAGGCTGTTGATGGTTCCCTCCGCTTCTGACAGGTGGGGGGGGGGGGGGGGTAATGCCAGGAGGTGTGTGATGTTGAGGCTTCGAATAAAGGCATTAATTCTGGACGACCACAGTCCATTGTATTTTTATGGCTAGACTAGCGGTAGTACCCGGCGTTGCCCGGGCGATAAAGGCAGACACACATGTAGTTACACATGCAAATCAACTGACAAGCACACAGAGTTACACGCACAAATGGACTCACACATACATACATAGACTAAACAACAACCGCCATTCGCCACTCAGTGGCTTAGGGCGTGCTGCCTGTCGAATTTATTTCTACGTGAAGCCTACTGTCCGAGAGCCAAATCCCCCGCAAGCCCGAGCGCGCGGAGACTTTTATATATGAGATTAATCCCCCCTCCTCTGGTCTTGGCACCTGATTGGCTCAAGTGATGACAACAAATTTCCCCCTCTATTTAAGACCGAAACATGAGGAGGATTTCTCCCCAACTCTGTCTGTCGCCTGATGAGGCTGTTGTAATTGCCGGCGAACTGTCACGGTACTCGAATTGTGAATGTTGTTGGTTTACTCTCCAACACACAACTGGTGTGCTGAACTAATAACTAATTGATACTTTTATTTACGTGATAAACCTTACTAATTGGCTGTATGTCGGGTGGTGCCGTATTTAACTAAACATATATTTACGCGATTCAACCCAAATAAACCTCCATCATGGTTGCTTCACTCTTCTCGCACAGCAGCAACACTCATTATCAGCCCTCCCCTCTACACACACACACAGGCCCCGTGATCTATGGAAGCGCACAGCAGTCGAGCAACGCCAACACCCGTTCGGTGGCCTCGCTGGTCCTCGACTCATCGAGTAACGTCAACTTCTGCCTGGGGTCGTGCAGCCAGACGGCCAAGGAGTGGGAGCCCTGGCTGCAGCTGCAACTCGACCGCTCGTACATAGTCTCGAGCGTGGGCATCGTCAACCGCAATGACACTCAGGGGCTCCGCCTCTTCGGAGCCGAGATCCGTGTGGGCAACTCGGAGGCCAACGGGGGCAAGGAAAACGCACTGTGAGTTTTGGATGTGTCCCAAGGGGGACTCTTGGCGCACGCGTGTGACTTGCCCACTTTTTACTTTTTATTTATTTATTTTTACCAAGGCCCCAATACGTCACGTTGTGACACGCGTACACACCGTCAAAATAATTACAAACCGGTTATGAAAAGCAGGTGTAACGGGATCACTGACCCAAACTATAGAAGGGGGTCCCCTACCGAAGGGGGAAATTGTAACTGTTTTTTGTTGAGGGGGGAGGGATTACGAGGGATATGACCAAAATATACCTGACAAAGAAAAACATAAACGCGAGCATTTTTCTTCTTTTCACCCCTCCGAATCCAGCTCCCGTATAATTGAAGTGGTTATGCCTGTCACGTTGCCTATCCACGGAGGGCTGACGGTTGGGGTGTATTGCGTCGAGCTGCTGGACCACTCAGAGACCCGGCTGTTAGGGATGTGAGCTTTTACTTTTACACGAGCCGACGCCAACCACCCCAAGCAGATGAGTTATAGCCTGGCAGCAGGCTACCATAAAAAATCAAACCAATAAGAATAAGAAACCACCACACACATCCAGTCACACCTAGTGTTCCTAACGCCTTCGAGACACAGAAGCTTTGGGGAGGGGGGGGGGTTCATACAACTCTTCTCTCCCACACGCAACTCTGCGTCACTGAGTGCCCCGTGTTCCTCCTCAGGGGTTTCCACCCCTCACCTGCTAACCCCTCTTAGAGAGCAGCTCTGGCCTCGAGCTTATCCCCTCTTCGAGCAGTCGGAGATGTCCACAGCCAGCCACGCAGCCACCCAGGTAACTAGATGGCAACATTCTCCACGCTTGGCCAATGCCAGGCTGCAGCCAACTTGATTCCCTGCTCCTGCCGCTCCTGTCATGCCCTTGCTGCGTCCCCGAAGTCCCACCCGCCCTTGTTCAATCCCCAGGTCGGCCGCTGGAAACAGATAACAATAATAATAATAATGTAACCGAACGTTTCCCTATAAAATATATATTCCGTGGAGTGGTAGACAGCCCTCAACTGCTACTTACAGTGAAAATACCCTGGTCCTCATTCGCGTTGCTGCTTGAAGGTGGGAGCTCACCCAGCCACTACTGGGCCGGTGGTGGTGGTGATGGTGAAATGCTGCCTTCACCACCACTGCTGCAGTTTCTGCGTTGAGCTCCCCCTGCCGATTCGGGTGCGCCTTTTATAGTGCTGCTCAGCCCATTGTTTAGCCCCTGGGCCAATCACGTGAGAGGTCCGACTATAAATGGTCTGAGATTCCCTCCCCCTGGTTGGCGTGTTACACTCAAAACCTGTCCCCACGCCGGTCTGACCACGCTGTGGTGACTCCTGGCTCCACACAAAGGACCACGCCCCAAAACAGGAGCTTCTCTCTCCAGCTTAATGGATATGCCTCACGCACTACGCCACAATACCCCTTACCCTGTGTGACCCACCCACTGTTACACACTTGTCGAGGCGTCCACACTCGACCAGAGTCTGTGATGTTCATAGGAAGCAGTGGTCTCCCATTTGTTGACCCGTTTTTCTTTTTTTTACTACTGTAATAAAAGACTCGGACGCTTCTCTATGTCCTGTGTCCTTTATTTGGGTTCGGCTCTCCCCCTTACTCTTCGCTCTGCAGCCCCAGGCTGCTATCGCTCACGTAGCCCGCTTCACAGCACTCCCCTATATACTCTTTGCTCTGCAGCCCCCAGGCTGCTGTCGCTCACGTAGCCCACTTCCCTCCTTGCAGACCCGCTGCTGTCTCGTCGTGCAGACCCCCGCTGCTCAACTCCACCCTTGCAGACCCGCTGCTCTCTTTGCAGCCTCCTCGCTGCTCCTCCAGCCCCGGGGTCGGTCACCGTTGGCCGACGGTGCCGATCCTCGGGGTCTGTGTGTGTGGCGATCTCGCCACTCTCTCTCTTCCCCACTCCGCCCTGCGTGGCCTTACACTATCCCAGTCTCCTCTCTCTCCCCTACTGCTTCCGGTTTCCCCCCTTATAGACCTGAACCCTCTCCCCCACGTGACGTAACTCCTCCCCCCATGACGTCACCTCCGGAAGGTCGTCCACGCCCGCATTACACCACCCTCCCCCGTAGAGAAAATCCAGCCGACCTCGGCTGAACACAACTCCAACAACAATGCGAGCGAACACGACCGTATACAAAAAAAAGACACAGAACACACAATATTATATCGAAGAACAAGAACACAACACAATAATTAACGAAATGTGAGGGATTTTGAGCGGGTGCGGGTCGCCGGACCGTCCCGGACGGTCGGCGGCCCTCCCGCCGAACGAGAACGTGGCAGGGTCTTAAGATCGACAGGTTGAAGTTCGTCTGTCGTTATTGGAAGCCTGGCAACGTCCCGGTCCCCCAATCTTGCCGGCGCAGCATCAGGGGCGTCCCGCAATCGCGTCCGCGGCGGGGTTGGAAGGGCTGCGGGCCTCAAAGGTTCCGCAGCCGTGTTAGGCGCACCCCGAGCTGAGTCGTCTTTCCCCTGCCACGTTACGGCCGGCTCGTCTGTAAAAGGCACAACAGGCGCTCTTGCAAGGTCAGCAGGCACAGGCAAAGGCGCGTCGGCAGCAACAGACCCCGGCAAGGCAATCTCAGGAGATGACGCATCAGGTCGAGGGGCCACGTATGGTTTCAACCGAGATGTGTGGACGAACCAACGCCGAGATCCAAACCGAACACGCGCCGACTGTGGGTTGGGAACCTCAATGAGGCGAACCGGGCCCTGCCATGGTTTGTGTAACTTAGGAGAGGTACCTGGCCGCACCTGTGGACAATGAAGCCAGGCCAGGTCCCCCGGTTTCCAGGGGCATTCCCCTTTTGAACGTCGCGCACACCTCTCATTCCGAGCCTGGGCTTTGGCCGTAGCCACGCGGGCCCCTTCCCGCGCCACAGTGACTCGGCGAACGGTGTCCTGAATATAGTCAGGAAGAGGCTTGGCAGGTCCCCTCATTCCGGTTCCCAACTGTTCATTAATCGGCGGTACGTTTTCACGACCGTACATAAGAAAAAACGGCGAATATCCTGTAGCCGCGTGCGGCGTCATTCGGTACGCAGAAAGCACCCCAGGGATATGCAAATCCCAATCCGATTGTTTTTCACTAACCGTATGGCACAACATGGCGGACAGAGTCCTATTTAGCCGTTCCACCATACCATCCGTTTGCGGGTGGTAGGGAGATGTCCGAATTTTCTTTGTTCCAAGAGCCGCACACACCTCCCCCAACAATTTAGACGAAAAATTCCGGCCTTGGTCCGTAAGGAGTCTCTCCGGCGCCCCCTTGTCCATAACATACCCAAAAAGAAAGGCGTCTGTGATAGACGCCGCTGACTGGTCAGGCAAGGGCCAGGCCATCGGCCAGCGGGAGAGGTACTCCACCCCTACCAGCAAATATTTATTTCCCCTAGCGGATGGCGGAAAGGGTCCCAAAATATCTAACGCCACCAACTCATTAACTCGAGACACTTGAATAGATTGTATAGGCGGTACATATGGATGTTTAGGTGGCTTACGGCGGGCACAATCGGGACACGCACGAACGTGTCCGACGACATCCGTCGTCATGCCGTGCCAATAGTAATCTCGCTGTAGCGTCAATAGGGTCTTCTGCACTCCCAGATGTAAAAGCGTGTCACAATGCAGAGTTCTAATCAATTCGTACCGCAATGATGCCGGTACAACAAGACGCCAGCGTTCCTGTATCCCTTCTCTCCACATTAGCAAACCATCACGGAGAGCAGTTTCCGGCACACCCCCCTCTCCCTTCACTGGCCGCTTACGTAATGTCACCAAAGAATCATCCAACATTTGTTCGCGGATCCACACGGACCTCGGAAGATGTAAAATGCCATCAGCCGGTCCCCCATCAGCCGGCCCCGGCTCAAGTGGAGCTTCAGGCACCTCGACTGCCAACGCGACAGGCTGAGGGGGTTGCTGAATCGGCCCACACCTATGCGTCCCCGACGCACACGCGCAAGGGGATCGCTGCAGCAGCCTGGAAAGTGCGTCCGCATTAGCGTGACGCACTCCCTTCCGATGGTGAATTTGGAAGGAAAATTCCTGCAGCGTGTCCAACCACCGCGCCAGCTGGCCAGATGGTTGGTCCATTTTAAGCGCATACTGCAAGGCCGCATGATCCGTGCGAACAATAAACGAACGACCGTACAAGTACGGTCGAAATTGGCGGAGAAAAAAAACAATAGCCAAAAGTTCCCTGCGTGTGACGCAATAGCGGGTCTCAGCGGGAGACAAAACCCGGCTACCATACGCCACCACGCGTTCCACACCACCCTTGGACTGAGACAACACCGCCCCAATTCCCGTGTCACTCGCGTCCGTATCCAGAATAAAGGGATGTTCAAAATCCGGATAATCTAACGTTGGCGCCGTAGCCAATAGATCGCGTAGGCTTCGAAACGCCGCTTCCTCTGGCGGTCCCCAAGCAAATTTATGTCCTTTTCCCGTAAGGAGATGCAAAGGCCTCGCGATCGTGGCAAAGTTTGGAACAAACCTCCGATAGTATGAGGCGAACCCCAAAAACCGACGCACATCCCCCACCGTGGCAGGGGTTGGCCAGTCACGGACGCACGCAGTCTTGTCTGGATCCGTGGCCACCCCATCCGCACTGACGATGTGCCCCAGGTAACGCACGGAGTGTTGCAGTAGGTGACATTTCTTAGGCTTAAATTTCAAATTAGCAGAACGCATCCTGGTGAACACAGCCTCCAACCGCGATAAATGCTCGTCAAATGTGCGGCTGAAGACGATAACATCGTCTAGATATATAAGACACGTCTCCCACTGCAACCCCGTTAATACCAACTCCATTAACCTCTGAAAAGTGGCAGGGGCCGCATTCAGCCCCATCGGAAGGCAGTTAAATTGGAATAACCCCTGCGGCGTACGGAAAGCTGTTTTTTCTCGCGAGGACTCATCAAGGGGAAGCTGCCAGAAGCCCGAAGAGAGATCTAGCGTCGAGAAAAACTTCGCCCCCGACAAGGCATCGAGAGAGTCGTCCATACGCGGCAGGGGATATGCATCTGCTACCGACACTTTATTTAATTTACGAAAATCTACACAAAATCGCAATTTGCCATCTTTCTTTTTGACCAAAACAACAGGCGCGCCCCATGGGCTGTTAGACGGAGATATTATGTCCGCAGCCAACATGTCATCCACTGCCCCTCGAACATGCTCGCGTTCCGCCAGACTCATCCAGTGCGAGTTTAACCGAATAGGGGCAGCGTCCCCTGTGTCAATATGATGGTAAAGCAACGAGGTGCGTCCCAAGTCCAAATCGTCAGAGCTAAACACATCAGAATAGCTGAATAATAATTTACGAATCGCACAACGTTGTTCCCCGGAAAGAGCCGAATTTTCCGCACACAATTCAGCGATCCAGCGGTCATCTGCAGCTCCGGCCCCCGAAACACCTCCAACAACTCCCCGGCTGGACAGATTATCATGAGCTGTAAACGCAGTAGTGGCATGTGCCACAACAGTACTCGCCGGCACACACACGCTTTCGGTACTCGCATTAAGCACTTGCAAAAACGGCTGTTGGTCTGGCCGGACAATAGTTTGTGCCCCAACCAGCGCCGATCCACCCGTAATAGCGGCGGACGGCGACAACAAAACACCAATCGCTCCTTGACGACCAGGTACAGGCTTCCGATAACGCAAGGGAATGAGTATCTGTGAGCCAGGTGGAATATCAACAGACACCTCGGACAACGCCTGCACCTGGGCGACAGGATCAGGTCGCCCCCAGGCCGACGGCAAAAACGCAATTTTTCGGCCTTCCGGTAGTTCAATGCAGTTCTCATTAATTCGAATCAGAATGGGCATTCTGGCCAGAAATTCGGTCCCTAACAAACAAGGAACCGCAAGAGACCTCGAAATTAACACAATTCCCGAGGCAGACACTCCCCCAATAGCGATGTTAGCGTTCACCTGGCCCACAATGCCCATGCTACCCCCGTTCGCGGCGACGCAGGAAGCGTAAGCTGGACTCACGGCCTCTGGTGGGATGTTCAAGAGATGAAATATTACATCAGAAATAATGGTCGCGGACGCTCCAGAATCTACCAAAATCCGCACATCCACCCCTTGTATCGACCCAGGTACGGTGGACGAACCGGTAGCGGCCGCGACAACCCGCCGAGCCAGCTTACGCCACTGCGTTACCGAGCGACAAGGCGCGGTCGATGGCCTCCCGTTATTAACAACACCCGGATCGCATGACAACGGTGATGAATGAGGTGTCAAGCCTTGCCGGGTGTCTGGTGCGCACCGACTTGCCTGTGCTGGCGAATCCTTTCCTGGAGCGGCCGCAGTCGAGGCCTCCTGCTGGGGCGGACCCGGAACGCGGGCCCAGCAGTCCCGAGCGTAATGGCCTTTACGGCCGCAGCGGAAACAGTCGATGTCGTTACGGCGTGCTGCAGACGCCCCGTCCCGACGCGGCCGTGTCGGCGGCGCAGCCCGTGGCCCCGGCCCCCCTCGGGCCGTCCACGGAGTTGCGGCAGCCGACAGCTCCTGCGGGCCCCTGTCGTCTGGCACAAAAACTGCCTTTTTGGGGTCCCAACCCAAGGCTCCCCCTTCGACGATAGGCCCCCCCGTCTACGCCGTAACCTGCTTCCACCGGCGCAGGTTGAACTGGGCATCTAGACATCTGGCCGCAGCCCGGGAGGTGAGCTTCTCATGCCCACACACCGGCATAGGAATGCCGAGATCCCGGGACAGCTCCAGCATCTTTCCCAGGATGAGAGGTTCCAGCAGGTCAGGCTCCGTCTCCGGGTATGCAGCCATAGCCAGTTCCAGCACCACGCCCCTATACGCCACCGGAGACTCCTCGGGTGCGCGCTGTCGTTGCACAAACCGGCGATGAGCATCGTCCGGTGGCTCGTAAGCGTCAGCCATTTCGGTGAATACTCCTCGCAACGTTTTCTTCTTTGCGGCTTTTATCGAGCGAAAGAATCTAACAGACTCATCATCGAGAAGAGTCGAAAGAACTTCTAATGCCTCGGCGTCAGTCCACCTCGCCGTGCGTACCGCTGCCAAAAATCTGCAGGCGAACGCGCTCCAATCTCCCCCGATAGAGAATTCTTTTACAGTCGGCAAGTGACGACTGCGACCTCTTGGCGCGCTCCCTCCAGCCGCTGACTCATCGGGTGGCAGATTCAACATGGCGTCCCAACGTGGTGTCGACAATATGGCGGCCTTACGCCGAGAAGGGCCCAAAATGGCGGCTTCCCGCCTTTCCTCGTGCGCCACGCCCAAGATGGCGTCCTCACGCCGCGTGGCTGATGGCGGCGACAGCGAAGACAACCCGGGCTCCTGCGGACCACCAACATCTCCTCTAGACGCCATTCCCGGCGTGACGAGCTCACACAACTGTGCAAGTACGTTCTTGAGAGTTTCAAGTTGCTCCGCCATCTGACTCCATCTTAAATCCACGTTCTTTAGTGAAGACGGGTCCCGCCGAAGCGACGACCTCTTGGACCCCCGGACCAGCACTCGTCCCAGCACGGATCTTCTCGTCTGTCGGAGTCAGGTCCACCGTAGGAGGAAGGTCTTCGTCGTCGGAAGAAGAAGCCGATGCCGGAGACGGAATATTCTTTTTTCTCAGTTGTTTTGCCATGCCGTTACACTTCCAACACCAGTGTAATAAAAGACTCGGACGCTTCTCTCTGTCCTGTGTCCTTTATTTGGGTTCGATCTCTTTTCCCTCACGACTCTCCCCCTTACTCTTCGCTCTGCAGCCCCAGGCTGCTATCGCTCACGTAGCCCGCTTCACAGCACTCCCATATATACTCTTTGCTCTGCAGCCCCCAGGCTGCTGTCGCTCACGTAGCCCACTTCCCTCCTTGCAGACCCGCTGCTGTCTCGTCGTGCAGACCCCCGCTGCTCAACTCCACCCTTGCAGACCCGCTGCTCTCTTTGCAGCCTCCTCGCTGCTCCTCCAGCCCCGGGGTCGGTCACCGTTGGCCGACGGTGCCGATCCTCGGGGTCTGTGTGTGTGGCGATCTCGCCACTCTCTCTCTTCCCCACTCCGCCCTGCGTGGCCTTACACTATCCCAGTCTCCTCTCTCTCCCCTACTGCTTCCGGTTTCCCCCCTTATAGACCTGAACCCTCTCCCCCACGTGACGTAACTCCTCCCCCCATGACGTCACCTCCGGAAGGTCGTCCACGCCCGCATTACACTACTACTACTATGACTACGTATTTATCTTATTATTCAAGACCCCATGAACACAATGCAATCATCTGATTTGGAAACACAGGTTATGATCGCGTAACAGCGCACCCACTCTAAACGCTTGGGCTCACTGTCCTACCAACCTAGGGACAACGATTGGGAACATAATATTTTCAGGGGAGGGAGAGAAAGCAGAAGGGGACGGGGGAGAGGTAGCCAAATTAAACCAAAACTAAAATAACATAAACGCGATTCCCGAGTTTATCAATCTTGTTTTCCCCTAGGACCGTTTCCTGGTTTTATAATTTTACCCTAACTGTCTGCTCCTGCCCTTCACTCTTGAGCTTAGAGGCCGAGGGAAATTCGGTTTCGGTTTCGGCGCCAAAAGTTGGCAAATGGCCACTTTCGGTATACTTTCAGTTTCGGCCGAAAGTCAATATTTTACTTTCGGTTAACTTTCGGTTTTGGCCGAAAGTCAATTTTTACTTTCAGTCTGGTTTCGGTTTCGGCCAAAACCAGAAATTCAATTTTGTTTCGCCTCTACTTGAGCTGTATGTCGTCTCTCCTCTCTCCATTTCTCTTTCCCCCATACCGGCTGCGGCAATCACTTGTATCCAGGTTCTGTTTTTTGTTGTTGTTTACACTGTTGTAAATACGATTAGATATTAATATTAATGGAGAGGATGTGGTGGGTGGAATTGGTAGGTGGGTTGGTGGGTGGGGTTCTATGTGGGATGGGAGGTCAAGTCGGTCGAGAGGTCAAAGGGGGCTGGGCGGGGGTGGAGATGGGAGTACGTGAAAGCATACAGATCCGTTGTATCGGTTTCCCTGTTTCTAACAGTCATTTCTGTCCCGCGCCCATCTGCTGCATCGTTACAATTCTCCTAGGTGCGCTGAAGACATATTTGTGCCTCTGGGAAGATTACGCGACTATCCATGCCCCTTCCTAAAGGGCCGCTTCGTCACCATAATCATCCCAGGCAGAGTCGACTCGTTGAGCCTCTGTGAAGTGAAAGTCAATCTCAACACCGATGGCATCAATTTCGACATCCTCTACTGAGACACCATCGCCACAACCAACTAAAATAACATTACAACAACCATCAACGCCACCAAACCATCTACAGAAAGAAGAATGCCATGACCAAAAGCATTTATTCTAAAACAACAACGCCAACAGAACCACAACTACCACAACAGCCTCTACTTAGAAAACACCAGCACGCACTACTGAGATTATGACGCAACCACCACAACCAACATCTGAGACATCTAAATCTTAGACACTCCACAGCACTAAAGCGAATTGCACCAACGAAAAAGAGAACTCAAGTGGTTTTCACTCATTTTCTATTAATGCCACAGACTACTGGAATTCCATCACTTCAAAAATATCTGCGGTTTACTCTTCTATCTAAATTACGTTTATAATGTCAAACTGTTGATTCTTTAGTACATATATCCATGTCTGTATACATATTAGTACAATAGTGAACGGTTATAACCGTTCAATGTTCCATAACTTAACTCGAGCAGTTGATTGGCGGAACACTTATCTCAATTGGTATAATTTGCATAAGTACCAGTACAAAACATTTGGTAAATTCATATCTGAAGGATGGCCTCTACACACCGTTTGTACAATGGGGATGTTCTTACCATACTTTACCACGTTGATTAGTATGGATTGATGATGATGGGAAGCATAGTATAGCGCAATTCATAATAAAGGTTTTTGGGTTAAATCACGTAAGCATATATATTGTGTCGTGAACCCACCACCACTTGACAGCCAATTCTTTAGGGTTGTCACGGGAACAAAAGGTGCTAATTATATAATTACTTCATCGCATCGGTGCGATGGGAAGTAAGTCCACAACATTTACACTATCCAACCTCAACCCATTTCGGTTTCTGAAGGCGCATTCTAGGTAGTACGGCAAGACATGTTTCAAAGTTGTTCACTTTTGGCAGAAAGCGTGGATGTTAATTGAGAAGGGTTTAAAAATGAGCAAATTCCACACAGTTCAGTGAAACAACTCGTGAGAGTAATGCTTGCCGCTTAAAGTTACGAATGCCGTCAGTTTGCCGTGCAATTTGTGGTTCTAAGGATTTACATTGACAGGGAGCTTACTTAAATTATAAAGCGCCTTAATATCACATATCATATCAATCCCGCTGCAGTTTTCTTTAATTTTTATGTTAAGGACCCCGTTATTGACAGCTGTAGATGTGCGGCACAATGCGACCCAGAACCAGCCTCTATGTGGGCATAGGTATTTCAGTAGGAGCGCGAGGTATTATTTGGCATTCTAATCATCACTTTTGCATTTTTACAAAATATCTTTAAATCTATATCACCTTTTGGAAAAATATAAAAAATAACTGCCCAACCCGAGCTATACGTGTTCTGATTCTTGCGTTGTCTTTGTACTGTTCACCTTTTGGCGTTCTCTGGTCTAACACTGGTATAGAGAAAATGCCATAAAGACAATGCATTAATAATCATCAGATCATGTTTGTTTGCATGCTTTGCCACAAGTACGTGTGGTTAATGCAAACGTGATGCCTTGCAAATTCTATCTATTTGGTGTTTGAACATCTTCACTCCTCCTGTTTTATTGCCAGAAAGGGTAACACATATTCCGAAGTTTAAATCATAAAACTTGGAAAAGACGAATGACAATATTTCAAACAGGGCACACTCAAGAGCCTATGTAGGGAAATACATTGTGAGCAATGGGAATATACTCGTTCCGTGTGCCTTCAAAATACCGACCTAATCAGGGGTGAAGCTCGCCGGTATAACCGGTTTATCACGAAAACCCTGTTATTTCCACGATTACCCCATTTAGGCCATTTACAGCTTGTCGTGCGATTCGTGCGATTAAAACGTAAAAAAACCACTGATGAAAACATGGTAATCCACACGTCCATTCTGGAATGCACGACTCAACGCCTGTTCCTGTGAAGTCAGGTAAGTGCGCATACAATCCTGGAAAGTGCCATGTTAACTGAAAAAGGCGTTAAGCGAAAAGAAATCCACACAAATAATACGATAAGCTTTGGAGAGATACAATGTACTACTCTGAAAACCACACAGTAAGATGGCTGGACAAATAACTGAGGGTATGCTACCGCATAACTATATCATTCCATCTACGATATCATTGTTCCACTCAGTCACGCAGCTCAAGAAAATAGTTTGGCGCTGACCGCTCAGAAATTGCATTTAAATGGTCCGCCTTCCGCGTTATAACGGTGCGCATTCCACGTTATAACGGTGCCCCATGATGCTGGATGCAATTACCAGCGAAACGTCGTACTCAAATTGTAAATGTTGTGGCTTCAACACACCGGTGGGCTAAAGCAGTGAACTATTTGTCTTTTGTCAACGTGACACTTTTTTACTGATTGGCCGTGTCGGGTGGTGGAGGGTTACGACACATTTATAAATAACGCGATCTAAACCCAAAAAAGTTCATTATGAACGGTGCTTCATTATTCATGATTAAATTCGTAATGAAGTCACACTTGCATTGTTTCCATCAGAAACTAGCGTGTCGCCAATAGATGCATCATTCGTTTATTTCGGGGAGATCATCATGTCGGTATGATATCAAATTTTGAAAACAATGATCCTCAAATCATCCTGCATATGCTCTTTACGTTTGCCAAAATTTTGCTTGCTTTTCAATATTTCGGTTTGTTGAAAAATCTAAATGAATTGTCATATTTGCCCATGTGACAACTTGAATTGCTTTGTCGGATGGTGGAGGGTTATGCTGAAACAAAACTACGTTATCCCTACCCGAGTAATTAATCTAAAATAAATTTAATTTGAATAATATTAATCATGAAAGCCTACGAATATAATTATACAGCCAACAGACTGCTGTGTTCTTGCCAATAGAAATTTAAGAAAATCCCAAAAGAATTGTCAACCTAAAAGCTACAAAATAGTATCCTCAAATTCTAACGCACTAAATGACCTTGATTCCTTGCCAGCAGATATAAATAGATTATGAAAAAGGCAAAGGTGCAGCCCTCATCAATGTTTAGCGAAAAACCGAGAGAAACGAGGGCAATGCGCTCACGCGAAGTCTAATCTCTGTTGGTGTTGTCAGTCGATGTTAAATATCCAGCTGTACAAAACAGATGAGTTGGTAATGGTGATGGTTGGTGGTGAGCGGGAAAAAAACCGTGCCACTATAAATAACAAAAATTATACGGTGTGTGTTTGGGTGGTGAGTGGGAAGCAGTAGTGGAGCGGTTCGTGTGCTGTGCTCAGAACCCAGCGACCAGAGTTCGATTCCCGCTCACGGTCAACACCATTGACGATTATCTGAACCGGTCCTGGGCCTCCCCTAGGTCGACTCAGCCTTAAATGAGTACCTGGTGCCACTGAGGAGACAAAGGCGGCCAGACGTGGTGTTGGCCACCCACCCCCTTGTGTGCCATGCCGGCCTTCATAGGTGGTCGCTAACAGCACTTGCCCCAACAATCTGGTATAGGCTATACTGGGGATCTCTGTCTTTGGGTGCTGCAAGGGCGACGTTACTCGAAACCCCATTCACTGAACGTAATATAATTCCCTTTGTGTGAACGCCTTCTTGTACAACTTGTGTGAAACATTAATCCTCTATGGAAAGTACTTTTGTGGTACCTTTGATTATTCTTATAATGTTCGAATATTTATTGGCATGTTGTTCGATTGTTTTGGTTTTCCTCGATATTGTTGGGTGTTTGGCTTATTAAACTCTTAAAATATTAAACCTGTAACACGCTTATGTTTGTCTCTCGTCCCATCCGTGGATTTATCAGCTAATAACTATGCAGAATAATTCACTCCGGTTGTGATAACTTAATTACATGAGATTAAAAAAGGTATCTATGTTGGTGTTTGAACATCTTAACAACACTTAGGGTAAAACCTATTGTTATTTTTACATGCTATATCGTAAATGTAATATATCTTCGGGTGTATTCAATGCACAGTGCATCACATTGTTCTAGCACATGTGTATCTATATTAAATGCATTGCTAGTCTGACCGATGTGCATGGGGCTACAACTCTATTAGCTGCTATGTCATACCGTCTGTGTGTGTCTTCTTAGTGGTAGGAACACCGTGCTGATTGCCTCCGCTTTAACCGTCGCTCGTGTAGGCCGCGCAATGTGAGTTGAGATTTACAACATTTGGAAACCAATAAAGAATGGCAAATTACACGTGGCAATATAGTAAAACATGATAGAAAGTGTTGTCATGGTTTTATGATGAAAAAATAAAATGCCTCCATTTGGTTCCCCATATATGTCCTGGAAGCCTTTAACAAGTATTTTCATTTTTAATCTTCTTAATCTTCTAACCATTTCTGTCATTTCGTTTCTTGTTTCCACAATTGTATCAGGATTGCAGACCAATATCGTATCTTGATCATGAATGTACTCAATGGGAATTATACACAGTGGTCATCGGATGGTCGGCACTGACTTCCAAAAAACTGGGTGGCAGATGGTAGCCTTCTCGTGGGCCACCTGTTAAGTGCCTCACTGCACGACTAATAGCATCACTTCAGCCTTTTTTAAAATCGTGTATATTTTTGATTTCGATTATGTGCAAATCCCATTAAAAAAAACGGCTATAAAGCTATTTTTGACAGGTTTCAAGTAGGGGCAAAACATAGTAATGCAAAGTACAAGAATCACCCAAAAACATACAAATAAAACTAAACCATCCCCATCCGACCAGGCAAAGCCCACTGAGGTATTAACTTGTGTTTCAGAAGCGACCTGGCCACAAGTGATATCTCAACAAAGTGGTTTATTATTTGTACATTTGTAATGAGTTCAACTGAGTCGCAGACGTACTCTTTGGAGGAAACACATTTATTAACACCAACACACGGGGAAACTGCCCCTTAACAAAATAACAACCTATGGTGGTGGACCACCAGGCTAACTACACTAATTACACCGTAACTAGCTACAACGGACCGGACCACAGCTTGAGTTAAGGTCCACGTGTTGGAGACTGTAGGACGTAGAACGTAGATTTCTTCAGGATGAACAACAGCAGCCGGTCCCTCTGGGGGACCCGGCTTATATCCTCTGTGGCGTGGCTGGTTCTGCCCTTAGCCACGACCACCTTCTAGAATCCGAGCAGAATCTCGACCCTGACACGTGACCACCCCTAGCCCCCACTTGGGGGCCCTGTGTATACTTAACCGGTCACGAGTCCTCTGGGGTCAACCAGAGTGCCATGGCCTTTAGTAACCCCATTTCCATAGCCGGCACTTCCGCACTCTATCCTTTAGGGGCCGGCACTGCATGCAGAGCGTGGTGCCATCCAGCACTGTCAGTCAGCGCTCACCGAGCCCCTCTAGGGCTGGTACTGCACCCACATCCAAGTGGTGTCCACCATGTCAATACGTCGCACGCCGTGCCTCTCTAGGGCCGGCATCACACAGTGACTACCGCGATGTCACTACACATTTGTAGTGAGTCCAACTGAGTCGCAGACGTTAACTTGGGAGCAACACTGTTTATTTAACACAACAGGGCCAACATAACAAAACCTACGCTCGGGTCTCGAATGCCCATCTAGCCATGGTACGGCAGAACTAGACACGGATCGCTATCCCGGTCCGGACCACAAGCTGGGTCCCGGACCGCGTGGCTAGAGGCTTCTTCTCCCCGACGTGGATCTTCGAACACCAACACTTTAAGAACCCCGAGCTCCTCCCAGAGCTCTGGTTATATGCCCCCGGGCTGGGGCTGGCTCCGTCCTTAGCCCCGCCCACCTTCCAGGCTCTTCGGGCTCCTTCTTGAACGTTCCCGAGAGCTCTCCGGGACCACGTAACCGCTCCTCG